AAAGAGTGTCTCCACCTCCCCACCACTGTGCATTTTAGCCCCCGAAGTGGCCCCAGCCCACATGCCTGTTAATTCTGCAAGGCTTGGTTTCAGTTTACACCACTCTGAAACACCTCAGTTGCCTGTAGACACGTAGACTGTCCAGAAGTGGTCTGCATTTTTCCCTCCCTCCTTCTGTTTTCTGGCCTTACCTTAACGATCTTCCCTTGCCACTGGCATCTCAGCCCAGCTTGTTTTTTTCTCTTGCATGGCTTTTGCTGCAGACTTGCTGCTTCCTCTCCTGTGCCATTGCTCTCCTCAGAGCTGGCTGTCCCCTTTTTTGCCATGAGACTTTGCAAGGCTGTGGCGCTTTTGCTTCCTAGCATGGGCTGCCTTCCTTCTGCTGCTGCTCTAATTAGAAAAGCTGACCCAAATTAACCAAAGCTGGTTGCTAATTTTTTCAGAAGCTGATATCACATTTCCCAGAGTTTAGGTAATGCTACTCTCAGGTACTGCACCAGAGATCGTGGGGCCTCAAAGTCCAAGCTTTCTAAGGTTATGTGTCTGTTCTTAAATTTTGGTTATGTTCAAGTAATTAAGGCAGTTCCTATAGAGTCAGACCCAGAGCTTCAAATACTGGAGCTCAGACTTGCATTCTAAAATCCTTTTGCAGGCTTTGAAATAAACACAGAAGTTTTCAAAGCCATTGAACATCTGCAGCGCAGTATCTCCCACCATAGACAACCAGCAGATGTCCCTGAGCTTGTCTTGGAGGCCTTGCAGTCCAGTTAAACATCTTGCTTTAGGTCACCATATCTTATGCATGAATGCGTGTTGTGTAACTTCAAAACAGACCTTGTGTCATTAGTCCTTGCAGCCTCATGGCTACATGTGCTTGTGCAGAAGTGAACCACCACCTTCAGGATTAGTGGTTTGTCTTCTACAGTGCATCATGGCCACCTGGATTCTAGCAGCTTTGGTTAATAGGCATTTGCAGAGTGGCCCAGAGGCTGCTGCTACTCCCAGAGCCCAGCTTGCCCAGGGATTGCTCTCTTAAGCCCTCCATCTTGCCTTGCAGGATCTGGTGAGCCTCAAGATCCCGGAGCAGTTCCGCCATGCCATCTGGAAGGGCATCCTGGACCACCGGCAGCTCCATGACTTCTCCTCCCCTCCCCACCTCCTGCGCACCCCCAGTGGCGCCTCCACTGTCAGCGTGGGCTCCAGTGAAACCCGGGGGGAGCGGGTCATCGATGCGGTCCGCTTCACACTCCGGCAGACCATTTCCTTCCCGCCCCGCGATGAGTGGAACGACTTCAACTTCGATATGGATGCCCGGCGCAACAAACAGCAACGCATCAAGGAGGAAGGGGAGTGAGCTCCGCGGACCCTGCTCCACCCTGCCTCAGCCACAAACTGCTCAGCCCTTCATTTGTCTTCCTTCTGCTTGGTATTGCACCCCTGGACGAAGGGCGGAGGGAGCCTTCTTGCTCACTCATGCTAGTTATGCTCTTGATGCTGTCTAGGTCATACTCCTGGACCGCAACCTCCACCCCAGCTCTTGCAAAGGGGAAGAGCTGAGCAAAGGGGGAAGGCGGGTGGTATTTCCTTGAAAGCTGTTGACCTTCTCGAGAAGGCATTGTTCTTGTTTCGTGTTTTCCTTTGGGGAGAGGGCTTCTTTTCTCGACTTTTGAATCCTCACACACCTTGTGGGTGTCTTGACCTGCAAACTTGTCTCTCTCATCCAGTGATCCTACTCTGAAAAGCAGGAAAGTTAAAATAAATTTTTAAAAAGCCAAAAAAAAAAAAAACCCTAACCCTAAAACCAAATGCAAAAAGCCCAAAGCCACCAAACCCTGAACTGCCAGTTCATCTGAAAAATAGATGGGAATCGGTCTGCTGAACGTCGCACTTAAACAGCCTCTTCCCACGGAGCTGAGTGCTCTGTTCATGTGTAATATTCTCCAGCGGAGACAGCACATGCACTTTGCTGGGCAGGCCAGCGCTTATGGCCACCTGCAACCCGCTTTTTCCCTTTCCCTTGCCTTCTCTGGGAAAAACAAAACCTGCTGTCTCTTCTTGTTCTGAATTTACATTCATGTGTATGTCCTGGTTTGCTTGTTTCAGGCTATAAATGCAAATACAGCCATCGGTCACGCTTGATTTCTGTGCCCCACCCAACCTTTAGCCATTCTGTACTACTACTACTGACATTTAAGCTAGAGAATTAGGCTTTGCCACATATGCAGCCTGGTTAGTTTAGCATAAGGATTTGCCTGCCTAGCCTCCGGCTGAACAGAGGACCAACTGAGAGCTACACACTGATTTGCAGGGCTTCAGCTATCCTAAACCCAGACAATCTTTTATTTAGACCATGCTAGATTGGTTTCCTGCCAAGTAAAATAGAACCATCTTTAGACATATCTGTAATAGGCTGGAGCCTGTTGTGGTTTGTTGCTGGTGACTATAGACTAAGTGATAAGCCACTAGAAGTGGAGAGTAAAAAAAGAAAGAAATTTCCAGCTGCCTTGGAACAAGGACCAGTTCCTGGTAAAATGAGCGTTGCTACTGCAAAATGTCATGTTTACATGAGAAATTGATTTTTCTCTGGTTTTTTCTTTATTGGTTCTACAGCAGCTGTGCTCTGAGGCATTTCCTCTAACTGCCAGCGATCCTGTGGACAAGTAACTGAACAGAGTGCATGTTTTTGCATTTGTATTGGCCAAGGTAGCGAGACTCTAAGGTATACAAAGCAAACCTAAACTGAGGAGCTCGGCTCAGCACAGCTGCTTTCAAGCTGGCTTGCTCTTTTTGACAGTAAGCCTGACTTTTTTGGTTGGGGAAAGATGAAAAAAGCAGCTTAAATGGCTTGTCATCCTACCTTGCTACAACCAGATAATCTCGTTTCAATGCAGTGGCTGTTTTCTGGTCCCTGCTGTGTGCCACATATTTCATTTAAGTCCAATATTGTTAGCATCCTCCATCTGTCTGTGCCAGGTCTATGTTGCATTCAAAGACTGCCTTTTGGTAACTGTGCAAGCCTATTTTGGATAGCTCTAAATAGTAATGCAAGGTGACTAGCCTGTAAAGTGTGTATATAAATATTTTTTTGTATGTGTAATTTTTGTTTCCTACAGCATAACATGCCAATTTTTATTTCTTCTTGGGCTACCGGGTCTGACAGAACCACAATAAAATGTTGTTTGTTTTTCTGGTTTTTTTTAATTATTATTTTTATGCAGAACGCTTACAGTATACCTTGTAACAAATGACTCGTCACTGGACAAATATATTTGTATTTTTCATACTGAGATTCCTGTGTTACTTTGCAGTTGAGGGGGGAGGGGGCAGGTACTGAAAGCCTGTTTTATCATTTTATTTTGTAACACTTCAAAGAGCAGCGTCCTAGATTTCAAAGTATTTAACATGCTCAGTGTGAAAATTTACTATGTGGTTTGGTTTTTTGTTTGTTTTTTTTTCCTATATGCTACAAAAGAAGCGAGTCATCCTGCTCTTGACTTGATGCAAGAATTAATTCAGGGGGCAGTCTTAGTGCGGGGAAAGTGTTAGTGCGGGTACTTTGCAAATTCCTGGAGGTGAATTAGGTTGTGCCCTTCTCGCCTCCAAGGTGTTGCATCTCCATTGTGTAATCCTTCTGAGCTGCTTCAGTATTGTACAAATATTGATGCAAAAATACCGTCATTTTAGGAACTAGGAAGCTTCTGACTATAAAGGTTAATGCAGTTAATGTTGTGCCCAGAGTCTGGATGCAAAAACTTCAGTATCTGCTTTTCAACTCAGCAGTGAGATGGAGCTTTTCTGCTGCATCACTAATGATTAAAATATATGCTGTGAAAACCTATACCTACTGTATACCACTGTGGAGCCTACATCTATATAACTGGAATCTTCAAATGAGTTTGAACTGCTGTAGCTTTTACCCTCCCCTGTAGAGCCATGATTTTTTTTTGTTTTGTTTTGATACATCAAAGCGTATGCGTTAATTGAGCTGAGAATCTGCCAAAGCTTGTAGCAATGACAGTGTTGCCTGCACCAAGACCTGTGTGTGTTTTGGAACACCTTGTTGTTGAAGTCAATGAAAATAAAAGCCAAACTGAAAATGACACTGAATTCCCAAGCAGCTTCTTTTCTTGCCTGTGCGCCTCCTTGGAAACAAGCAGGAGACTTTGTTGCTGCTTCCTCCTCTGAGCAGCCAGGGCTTAGCGTCGCCTTTGCCCACGTGTGCGGTTTTCTAATCCCCGTACCATCCGCGGCACAAGGATGCGTTCTAAGGCGCCATCACGCACCCATCTGCCTTCTTTCTGGCAGATCGAGTGGGTTGGCCCCGGTAAGCCTCTTGCTGAACTGTGAAGCCTTCTGGCTTTTGCAGCGTTTGCAGGGTTCTTCTTTGCTCTTTCATCAGGTTTCTTTATTCTGTTTCTGAGCAGGGCACCGGGACGTGCCCCGTATTCAACATCCTGGTCAAACACCGTGGACCTGTGACTACTGTGTGCCGTGGCCAGGGGGAAGGAAAGTGCGCTTTGAGCAGGCAGGGTCAGTGCTGCCCTTTCCTACCTCCAGACTTGTAAAGTAGTCTTGCACAGCCATCTCCACCATCCCCCTCGGAGCTTGGAGAGGTTTGTCCTCCTCATTTAACTTACACCAAAGGCTTTGTGCATCACCTGATGCATCCTCTCTCCTACCAAAGCCTTTTCCTTTGCATCCCAATTCCTCTTCCAAGGACTTGAAAGAAGAGCAGCTCAGAGCCAGTCAAGTGGCTATCATAAAAGTGACAGAGTGGCCTTCATCAGCTGGTGGCTTCAGTCTATCCATGGACCGCCAAATTAACAGCCGAGCTTTATGAGTGGTTTCTTTGTGGGGCCCTATGTCTGTCTCCTACAGTTTTCCTGGGTTATGGTTGAGGGAGGATGCTCAGGAACAGGGAGTGTCCAAAAAAACCCCACAAAGATCTCAAAAGAAGAAAAGGGCATAGCTTCCCTTGGGAGTTAGTTTCACATTTACCATTAGGGTAGGGAAGGCCTGCCTGATTTCTTTGGTTCTGGTCACTGTTTCTTTTCCCTTTTGCCAAAGGATTAGAAAAGCAGTTGTCTCTGGATATCAATATCCAGAGGCATCAGTCCCCTGATTGCACTCTGGCAGTCAGGGATTGCTTGACTGTAGTAGTAAAAACTAGTATGTTGCTCTCAAAAGAGAGAAGTGCTACTACAACAGCTGCAAAAAATTGCTGTTTCAGCCAATGAACTCCTTGCCTCTAGATGAGCTAACTGGGTCAGGTAAAATAAGATTTCAGTTTCCATTAACCAGCTTGGCTTGAAATATGTTTGCTGATGGTTGCAATTGTTGTCTGCTGTGATCCACTGCTGGAGTAGGAACTTCTGCATTGCTTCTGTTACAGCAACCTTGGGAGGAATCCCAAGCTGGCGCTCTCCCTTTTGCCCTCCACCCGTACTCGTTGGAATTTTGTCTTTGGATATTGGGATGCTTCTAGCGCAGGCATGAAGTTTTCAGGGCAGGGATCCATCACAGGCTTCCAGCTGTGTTTTGCAAGCCTGGGTGGACCTCTGAAGACGTGCATACCCTTCTGTGCTGTTTTCTAAGTGTGCTGAAGCTAGCAGTCCCCTGGAATGAAACTTATCCAGACACAACAAAACTTGGCAAACGCCTGAGTGAAGCCTGTGAAGGGTGTCTTGCTCATCACGTTCTTCCTGTCCTGTGTGGCTTAGCAGAAACCCCTACCTTCCTGACAGCAAAGTGGCTGCCTGCGCTGCAGTGGGAGGATTGCAGGACCTGGCCTCCCACTCTGCCTCTTTGCAAGTTGTTTCTCAGCGGGAAAACCATGTGGGCAGCCCAGCCCTAGCACCAAGTGGGAGCTTGGGCTGTTTGGCCTTCTGATTTGCTGAGCTATGAAATGCGTAGCTTATACAAACTGCTGTGTGAGGGTTAGTGAGAGGAGCTGCACCAGGCCAGTGAACCTGCAAGGTTCCCTGCATATTCCTCTCCGTGGGGCGGCAGCGCATGGCCACTGCCCAGACGTGGAGTGCGGCCACCTGGGCACGGGCTGTGCCGATGCTGAGCCTTTGCCAGGCAGGTTTGGCAAACAGCCTCGCCTGGCTGCCAGGCTCGAGCTGGTGGTTTCTGGGTCCTGAGATGTTTTGGCTCTCTGCGACCCACGACAGCAGTGAATCATCTTCCTGAGCCTATTGCAAAGGGTAGAGGCTGGAGTTTTGGAATCTTACTGTTTATGTTTCATACACTGACCATGAAGGTCAAATAAACTTGAAGGAAGCTAAACTTTATGCTCTGTTGGCAAGGTCTGGCTGCAGCTTTCTCCCAGCTTGCTTCCGTAAGCTTAAGGAGCCAAAATTTTACTCAGAGGAGTACGGCAGTAGCACTTCGCTACAGTTTTGCTCTCCTGATCAGGGCCCCTTTTCCTCATTTGCCCATTCCCTCCCAACTGTATGTACCATCCCTTCAGCACAAGGCCTTAACATCAGTGCTGTGGAAACAGGTGGTTTTGGTTTTGTGTGTGTGCATATTTCTATTAGTCGGTGCCTTTCATTCAGTGAGGAGTTGGAGCCCCTCCACAGCCCCCTCCGTCTGCCTGTGGAT